AGCTACGATATAGTCGTGAATAATGTGACTAAGTTAGTTGAATTACTCAAACGCTCTAGGTGCGGACACAGGAACACAAACAAAAGCTGAGGAGGTCAGTCAGAAAATGAAGGTGGCGATACCTGCCACAATGACTGGTTAATAAACGTTGAGATTGAGATTCTGAGTCAAAGTGCAGAGAAGCAAGTGCGGGTATGGCTAGTGGATGCTCGTATGAGCAATCGGCGCAATCAGGTCTGGCGAAATGCGTGCGCACAACTGGGGGGTGATCTATCTCACAGGGTGGGACTCATCAGGCTCTCATGATGCATTACCGCATGACAGTCAAAAGCGCAGATCGACCATGAGAACATTGCAGCGCTTGTCTATTTCTCACATACCTCGCCTTATTGTTATTAAATTTGCCTTGGCACGAGGCGTTTAAAAAAAACAGTTTGAACATTAAAACAAGCATGCAATGCATGTACGAGTTTCTTTTTTATATAATTAAGAACACACCGTTTCATCTTCTAGACGGTTTCTGTTAACGATCCCCCCCATTTCCGTCTTGTAGGTAACCTTGCAGCACAATTCAGGAGTCACATCTACCCATGTCAGCCCTTTCTCTTTTGTCCCACAATAAATAAGCACCTGCCAGCTAAGTACTGTAGTGAAACTCAAGCGAAAAACGGAGGAAACGGGGGCAAGCAAAGCAGTCAAACCCACGTATTCGCATGGATCTGATATCGTAGATGACCGACAGAGAAGTTTGGATCGTGTTGGAAGCTTTAGCAGACATTGATCAACATCCGCGGTGATGGTCTCAAGGATGTAGGTGTACATTTGCTGAGCAAGCTTGGCGTTGACGTTAAGAATCTGTGAGTAAAAGGGGTGACATAAGGATAATCAAAAGACAAAGTAATGACCTGTAAGCATCCAAAATACTTCGTAGACCATAACATTTAACATCTAAAACGCCTCTAACATAATTTTGATCTTAGATATTTCATCCTCTATGAGGCTGAATTAAAAATGATGAAAATACCCTTAGATTTACTAAAAGTAATAAATCCGAAGTACTCGAAAGAAGTCACTAGCTCAAGAAGATGTTGTAGTGCAGATTCTCTGGTGTCATATCATCCAAACAACTGATATGTTCAGACATAGTCGCCCTGCGTGCAATATTTCATATTACTTGGATGGGTGTGCGGTCGAAACATGCGTACTGACAAAAATGTATGACATTTCTCGCCTCCCAGGACAACTAAGGTATGGCTAATTTTTGTCCGATCACCTACATGCATTTGTTTCGGCGTCCTACACGTTCAGGCTCCTTCGGTCGTATCAGATCGTTTTCTGACATACACAACGAGCCGTGCCAGTGGAATTTGTGATCTAAATACACTCCTTTATCGTGCAGAAATGGACTAATGGAACTTCATTTTATGGTTTTGGCTACACTGTGCATATATCAAGATCGATGAAACATTATTTAAACAGAAATGCCTTCTTTTTACTCGGAAAACTTTATGTTATTGTAGTTAGCACATACGATCTCATTTGAGACGAAATCATTCAACTTCATTCACAATTGGATTGAGAAGTTCAGAGTTCTCACGTATGCACTACTTCCTGTATTCACTAATTAGAGTTAACTGGAAGGACAACCGGTATGCACGGATATTTTTGGCAATTAAAAGAACGCTTTAATCGTTACAGCGCTAATGGACAAACTGGACTCTTTACTTAACTTCTCCAAGGTATATACAGTAGATTCTCTACCTTATGTCAACCGAAATTGTAGAACTTGTTTGCAATTTGAACAAAGTACGCAAGTGGGGTTGTAGTATTGATAAGCGTACAGGTTTATCTCAGTTTATTCCGGTCACGCCCGAATCCCGGTCTCTGACCGCCTGCAACAGTATGTATTGTAAAAATGGCTTCTTCTGTAGTATGCATTTTATTAATAATTATTAATGCCCTTGTACATTCTAATATTTTGGTTGATCCAATTGTGAAAACTTCACGGCCTCGGTGGGAGTCGAACCCCCACAGCAGGGAAGGCTTTTGTACAGCGAATTCTCTACCGTTGAGCTACGAGGCGGCGGAAAAGCCTTCCCTGCAGTGTGGGTTTTACTCCCACCGAGGTCGCAAATTTTTCACAATGGGGTCAATCAAACTATTGAAGTATGCGAAACCCCTAATAACATTCTAATATACTGTATAGAAAACATATGAAAAAATACCCTTTTTATACTAGTTTGGTAGCAGTTTACGCATTGTTCGGATTTTATGCCCAAAGAATGGGTATAGTTTAATCTAAAAAGATTAAATATGAACTTTTAGTAATCGTTAAATGCTCATTCATAAAAAATCGTATCTTTCAATCGACTAATGCGGCCTTTTAAGTATACAACACGATTTCCATCGATTATAAAATTTAACGAGAACTAGGTGACCTCTTCCACATGCCGTAGGCAGAATGTATGGAGCATGTAGTTTGGGAACCTTCGAGTCAAGTGTAGCGGCCAGTACTGTTTAAACTTATTTACTAATTTATAAAACGTCTTAAAGCTGATAAATACCCGCTCCTCAAGTATAAAACTTGAAGTATGTGTAATCTACTTGAAAAATGCAATGCAAAAGACGATTTTGCGTGTTTTTAAATATATATTTAAAATTCTCGTGAAGATTTGAAGTTCAAATATCTTCTCTTTTTCCTCATCCCCCAAAGAAGATGAAGAAAGGACGAGGAAATGGACCGAAGTATATTTACACTGACGTTTCGGTAACTCGCTCGGATCCATTGTCAGAGTAACGTGATGATTATTCCTGTTTGCCAGGCTTGTTTCAGCCTTGCGGCACACCTGTCATTATACACATGCTCGGCGCACGAACTTTGACCTGCCTGTTCTCTGCTGACTGACCGTGAGGTTGACCGCTCGTGGGCTCGTGTGACATTTGTCCCCTTTGCGAATGTCGTGATTGTTGGTAAGTCAGCGTACTTACTGCCCTGCACCTCGTCGACCGACGGACTAATCAGTTGATGTTGTCCGCGTGAGTTGATGTCAACCTCATAGGCATGGAAAATCACCGTGGAAATGCATACTACTTAGGCAATCATTTCTATAGGGTATACTTTCTTGCTGGTGGTCAGAAAGAAGCTCCTTCAAAAGCCCGCCTTCCAACATGACTAAAATGTCCTGCTAAGTACTCTTACAACCCTGTTCAAGTAAAATTTTCGAATCACAAACGCATTTCGGAACGTTGAGGCAGGTCGTTTACAGCCATATCAAAATGCAATGCTGTGACCCCATATTAGTATGCGGTAGCTGCATCAACACCTACGTTGGTTAGTTTCAGCTTGCGTCAGCTAAGTTTGGAAATCATCCTTAAATGCGGCTGGCTCGTCTTCAGAAGCAAAATATGTGGACCACGGCAAAAATTAGCAGCGAACAACAGAAAGGAGTGGAATTCGGGATTAAAAAGTCGAAGAGGCAAACTAACCATGGGCTCGACAATTTCGCCGACTTGCTCCTGCAAAGCACCGCATGCAGCTTGGATAATAGGATCCACTTTTTGGTTCAGTTCCTGTTCTTTTGGACGCACACTGCAGAATTCCCTACCATGGGTTATCTTCAGTTCATTAAAGATCGATTCGATAGTATTTTTCGCTGTTTCCTTAAGAGCAACCTAAGGAGAAACATGCAATAGAGGGAGCAACTGTTAAAATAGTAGGTATAAAACTAACGATAAATCCAAATACTCAAGGTGTCTTTGACCGGGATACTTGTTATTATGCACAAGGAAGCTTCCTCTCGTAGAAAAAATGATCTGGGTATTCATGCACTCAGCGTGAGAGCAAGGCTGCCCAGTTAGCAAACGTAAGAGACTATTTCAGCACGCGAACAACCTACAAGTATCAACTAATTTTGGTGTTCGAACTTAAGAGAAAATCACAGGTCACTTTGGATGCATCCTTCGGAAGATGAATATACCCTTGTCACAGTCAAGGAAGATTTGTTGCCTAAGCTTCATCATTAATGATATGTTTTGGTCATCAAGTCTCCTGGTTTCTGCAAAAAAAGGCAAACGTATTGAGTAGTGGGAACGGACAGATTTGCAATACGATCATTGCCTGAATGGTCCAATTTGCCATGCAAAATGGAAGCAGCTTATTTGTGATGAAAACCGCGACCTTTGTCTCGACCATGCCATGTTCCGTGGTCACTGTGACCTTTGCTCTTTTAGTAAAGCTTAACTAAATGTGTTACAGCAAGCGCTTCCTTTAAAAAAAGATCAGGGAAACTAGGGAGACTGTGAATTGTACCTGCAGTGCCTCCTTGAGTTTGTTCTCGACACTCTTCTGCGCCTTTGCAAGGACTGACGGGTCAAGGGCAGAGTCTAACAACTGAAAGTGTAAGGCGGGAGTGGTGCGATACTCCTCGATGGCATTCTTGGCAATATCGGCATCAGGTAGATGTGTGGAAAGGTAACCGAAGTTTTCTGCTGGAATACGTAGCTGAAGGCGTGCAATGCTGGAGCTGAGTTTCTGAAGACCAAAAAGACAGAAATGAAATCAGTACTCCAGTAAGTTTGTTCATGCAAGCTTTAACCCAAGTGCAATTAAGTTACCAGAAAGTTTGTGTGGGCAAAACTCTATGCATTTACGCAATAACTAAATAATATCACCCGCCATTATATCATATATGGTGATCAGTGACCCACACTTGCTAACTGGACGCTTATATAAACTCCAGCCGGTTTTTTCTTCCTTTCTCCCTCTTAGTTAATAATAACTAATGTATTGCTGTCACAATAAACATAGAAAACTGGAATATAAAAACGCAATTTCTTACGTTTACTTTTGATCTGGAAAAGCTAACTTGTGATCTTGTTATGAGAATGAGTCTTCTTAAGAAGCAAATTGCTAGTTCGGGAGCCAAGCGTATTTACGACTTCCGAAATTATCAGGAATAGCTTTTGGTTGAGCAAACCCTAGCAGGTTTATTGAATTACTTTTTGGAATTCGTCTAAGTCTCCAATAAGTATATCGAAGAGGACTATTTTAGAACATATTGACGTTTGTTTTAGGATCGAAAATAACAGCATTTTTTGTCAGAATCTATCTCGTCTCACCAACCACTATTTTTTGAATTGAGAATGTCGACAGACGTCTGCGGTTCATGGGCCGTATGTACGAAAAAAATAAGATATTGAACTCAACTCGAGAAGAATCGACCAACAGTCAAAGACATAGAAAATACAGGGTAATTTTGGGTCCCAACTGGTCATCACCAATCAGGTGTATCAAACTCGCAAGGAAAAAATACTGGGGTTCCAACCGTGGTCTAGTTACTATTTGGACTCAACGGACTACGAATTTTCTAGATAGTGAGACACGCTTGTAAGTAGCTCGGATTACTGGTGGGCTCGCACACCAATTGCAAGAGATAAGGGTTACGAGGTTTAACGTTAGGATGGCGAGTTAACGTTAAAGTTAGGACATAAGAATATGTAATTCCCTGGAATCTATCACAACATCCCTTGTAGCACAATGGCTACCTACACCCATATCCAAACCTCTTGCCTTTCTTAGCAATTTTTCTCAATAAATTATTGCTCTTCTCTGTTTGACCGCACAGCGGCGCAATATGTTTTAGTTCTGAGGCCGTTTCACAGTTCTTTCAGTAGCTAGATGCAACCAAAGAAGGTTTCTATCACAAAGAACAGTATAATATCTTATGCTGTGAAGAGTAGAACGTGGCTAACACCGAAGAACACCGGGCACCTTGTGTGTGCAAGGGTGATGCAAACTACTTTAACAAAATCGAAAGTATCTGTATGTTCACTCTAAATAAATGAAGCCAGCCTAGCAGTTGGCTGGTTAGAGAGGAGGACAGAAGACAGGGCTGACAAGATCCTTACGTCTTGAGCCATTAAGACGTCCGTTGATGGATTGACCAATTCCCCGACAAGCCTCCTTCGTACTGGGAATGCGATGTTGCATCCACGAGGAGGGGGCTTTTTGTAGTTTAATTCGTCTTTCTGTGAACATAAAAAGACATGCGCACTCAGTAACAATAAGCGTAAAGAAGGCACCGCAAGGATGCTGGAAAGCAACCGAACTAGAGATTAACATACATGAACAGTCGTTTGTAGTTTATTTAGAAATAGCAACAGAATCAAGACTTCTTCAGTTGACATGCATAACGACGCCTCAAAAAAAAACAGATCCAGGTTGGCGTTCGTTAGGCATTTTACCGTATTGAGATCAGATAGAGGAATGCGAACAAGTATGGAATTTGTAGAAGACATAGAATAAAGGCATTTAAGGCCCTAGAAGATTTGGCTTTAGTAGAAAAACAGTCTATACGCAACAAGAATCGTTCATAAGGATTAATTCTGGTCAGTGTGGTCGGTAATTCAATGAGAGATCAAACGCTAGTAGTATGCCACATTGGAACTGTAGAGTCTACAACTACGTGTATGACTTGGACTTCACAGACTACAGCACCCTTATTGTGGCTAGTATTACTCGCACTATTACCAGCAACCACAATTACCATAGTCGCAACTTCAGCGTAATCTTTTGGCGTCGACGCAACCTTCATTGTCGAAAGTATTGGCACTCCCTGAAGATCCTCCGCTGAAGGGTAAGCTGTGTTCTCGTTCTTTCGTTTTGTTTCGTTCTCCTTGCTTCCCCTCTCGTTTCTTATCCGTTATTTTCTCTCTCCCTCTTCTCCCTCTCCTTGTTCTTTTAGTTCGTTCTCCTTGTTTCTTCTCTCGTCTCTTTTCTTTGTTTTCTTTTTCTCTCTATCTCCGCATCCTTTTTTCTTCTCTTGCACAACCCGCTCTGCAATGCTCATCTCCGACTTATTCTCGTTTTCAACATTGCGTCCATCTCACCTCAGGCGACCGACAGCTAGGCGTTGGCCTGTTGCTGGCGGTGGAGGAGAGAGTGAGGTCGACCCTCTGTGTATTTCCTTCCTCACTATAATCAATCTGATGCGCTTGAAACTATGGCGGTGCGCTAAAAGCCGGGGTTGCCAACT